ATTCGGTAAGTTAGCAAGAAAGTCCGAACATTAGGGATGTCCACGTTAAAATTTCGCTTCTATGTATTGAGCCTATCTTTTTTCTATCTATCGAATTTCTGATATCGAAATCGTTTGGTCAGGAATAAATAAAAGTACGTTAGCAAAAACACAAGCAGAAACAGCAATTCTCATAAATCTTTCATAAATAATCGACATAATGTTTGTCATCTTGTTGAATTTCATCCAATAAAGTGCTACAAATAAAATTGATAATGTAATTTAGTACGTGTGACCTTTTTACATTAAGAAAATCTACGCAAAAACTATAGTTCAAAGACAGATCGATATAATCAAGAAAAAAATAAAAGCAGATCAACAAAAGCTACCTCCTGTCATTCAATCAATTCCTTTTTCAAATCTTATTTTAAAAATGGAAAATAGCAGTTAAAAGATATAAAGCCAATAAAAGGAATTGCGGGGTCAAGATACCATTAGCAGACAATAAAATATTTACTTTTATTTTTAGATTCTATCGTTTTATTTGAAAAAAGAATAAAGGAACGGTTAAAACGGTAATCTGTGAAGGAAATAACGGTCTGCTTTGAGACAGTTGTCCCACTTAGTGTCCAAATATAGATCTGTGTGTCGACCTTAGCAGACACTCCTGCGCCTCATTATGTAATAATGCTGTCTGTGTTTCGATGTAATCCCAGACCGGATAACACGTTATCCGATACATGTTCCAGTACCCGTACGTACATTTTGACAAATTTCTTTTCGTGAATAATCTTGTTTGTTTTTGTTAAAGCATCAATTAGTTAGATACACGTGATTATCGATAGACACTGTTTACTTAGATGGTGTGCTGACTATAAAAGTTAGCAATTTTGTAATCAGTTCAGATCAGTTTGACTAAAGTCTAAAAACTTTGATCGGACTATGATATCTTTTAACTTCAACTCTCCAAAAAACTGGGCTCACATTATAGATTTTATTCCCAGCTGGGATAGAAAGAGCAGCAATTTTTGCCGTATACTATCATCGGGCACAATTTTATTCTTAACATAACATAACATCACACCGTATATCGGCGATGGGTAGGCACTTAATGCCACTGTAGAATCATGTATCACTCACTTTTTACTATTTATGTTATGAGTACCATGTAATAGTGCGTGAGCTTATTGCCGGGCACAATTCCAGACTCCATGCTACTACTGAGATTTTTTTTCAAAAACCTGTAATACTTTACCCGATCCGGGAATCGAACCCGAGACCCCTTGCCCGGCACCGCACTTGCGACCGACCAGCCAACGAGGCGATTTGGAAGTGATTCTACCGAAACCCTATATTTCTAGTCTGGGCAGCAGACTCTAGAATGAACCAAACTTTCTTCTATGCATTTCCCAAAAGATTAGTCAGATAACAATCCACAAGCCAATATCGTGATAATAACAATCTCCTCCGTACAGTCTCACAGTCTCACAGCTCGCAGCACCGAGTAACAACGGATTGGTTTAAAGATTGCAACTCTGAATTCGTAATGACAGGTTGCGAGCCCGGCTGTGAGCCTGTCTTCGAATAAATATTTATTGTACTACAAATACTAGAGTAGATACATAAGCTTCGAAATACTGACGATAATGCCCAGAATATCTACACTTACAGAGTTAAACACAAAAAAAATAGTAGTAAGTAGTTAGACTATCGAGTTTAAAATTCTGTATTTATTCTATTGATTCCAACTTTTGATTAAAATTCAATATTTTTTACCGAATACTATCATAAAGATAGTAGATTGTATCATGAGGATAGTATGTTTATCCAAAATTAATAAAAAGCAGACGTGGTTCAAAGGTTTCGATGTATTCAAACAAGTTGAGTACACTATATCTACTTTACAGTCTGTGTGTATGAAATTGTATGTTTGTAAATGCACTGTTGGGGCAATGTTATAAAAAGCATACACTGAATGTTTAAAGTACGATGGTAAATCCACACATCATTATGTATTTCTTTTTAAATACGATGTGTATCACATACTTACGTATATCAGAATAGAGCTGCAACTTGTCTGGCGCTCGCGTTTTTCCTTTTATTTCGTATCTCTGGCACCTATAAAACATGTTATAATATGCATAGGCACTCGAGCCAGACACTACTTGAGTGCACTTTGGAGCTCTGCGTATTAATTTTTATAACACGTTCAACAATCGCAGTCAGATAAATGGAGTTCCCATGTGTGCACTCTTAATTATTTAAATGAATATTTTGGGTGAAATCCATTACGTAATTATGCAAAATCGGGTTTAAAATGTAACAAGATGTAAAAATGCTGTATTTTAAATTTTTTCACTATTTCTATACGTCGCTCATACAATCCTACACTCACTATACTCTCTCCAGCAATTCAAACATTAAGTCTGATTTTACCAACCGACAAAAACTTCACCTCATTTTCAGTAGACGAATATTACCAAACAAGTAACAGAATCCTTAAGTGAAGTGGCATATCAAGTACATTTTGAGGGCCAAGAGATTATCCGCGTCGATATTCTGATCCGCTTATACGCTATATTTGTATGAGGTAAAAACAATGGCTTCCTAGTTTCACCTTCGAACGTGAACATAAAGGTTGGTATACACACGAGGGACCCATTGTTGTAAGTCTACACCGTCCGTCACAGCGTGCGTAGTCACGCACGCTGTGACGAACGACGTGATTTCTATTATCGTTTCCGAGTTTTCTTTGTATGAATTATATTGTTTGAAATGTTTCACTTTCTTCACAATACGCGTGATCTGGTTTTATAACTGTGTTTTTTGTTATAAAGGTTTTATAGTTGGGTATTCGATAGATTCAGAGACTTGTCATTTAGAAAAAGCTTTGGATTTTGGTTCAAATTCGGTGAATTACTTTTATCTTCCCCAATTATTTTTACCAAATCTTATTAGTTTTATTTAATTTACTTGTTGACACGAAATATGAATACAACCAAAATGTTCAATCTATTCAAAATATCAATTTCGCATACAACCAAGCCTGCAACGATTAGAATCAGCAAGTTATATCTTCTCTGAAAGTATCTTCTAGCAAGTTTTCTTCTTTATATCCTGCAGGAGGATATTGCATCGATATTTTAGAATTTTCCAATTCAAACAAAATGCTAGAGATTATAAACGCATTTTTAGTTAAATCGTATTTTCTTGTGCAAAGGAGAAATATCTTTGCGCCGTCTCTGATGCATTCTGCATAGCGATCATATTAAAATGGGATTATCGTTACAATCTTTTAGTTTAATCGTTTGGCCACTAGCTTGCAAAAGAAGAAAATAAATAAGTTAAAATAGACAGCTTATTATTGAGATTAAAAATAAATAAATTGGACAGTTAATCTTACGTTTTAACAAGTTATCTTGTTGTTCTTATTTAAATGAAAGGGCAAAATTAGATTGTTATTTCATTGTTTAGTCTGTTGAAGAAAATTAAAAATACTAATATTGCATTGAAATTCTATTTCTATCTATAAATTCTTCTTCTACAATAATTTATTTCAACTTCTCGCTTGATGATGGCATCAACAATATCTAAGTAACTACTAGCAGACGGATCACCTGATGGTAAGCAATCGGTGCCGCCTATGGACACCCGTAACACCAGAAGTGAATTTGACAATATCACTATGTTGTATGTACCTAGGTATATGTATCAGCTAAGATTTCGGACTTCGATGTCCAGAGAGGCACACCAAAGCTTCTCAGTGGTCTTGTGACATAATGTCGTAGACGATTGAAATTCGAGTTATCTTCAGCTCAGTGGTGTTAGGAGAAATCCATCCGATATTCGTATCAATATGGGGAATATCGGTAGATAGAATTTCGAACTACTAAAACAAGGGTGACAACGCCTTCCTCTATATATATGGTGAATGCAAATGTATAATACCTTGAATGACCATCATGACTTTCTTCGGGCCTTTTACACGTATTCAGGAAGGTACACAGAAGTGCCTACAAGAAAGGTAACACTCACATTTCGTCATTATAAATACCAGACAAACGTTCAGACTCCATGCTACTAAGAATTATTGAAAAGTGAACAATAAAAATCATTTTACCTGACCCAGGACAACAAGACCAACAAGGTTCAACTTAAACAACAATTTTATAAACAGTCCATATTCTCTTAAAGAAAAACTTAAGCACAATAACTTCTCTCAATAAATACGGAAAAACACTACTAATATTTTGTACAATACACTAGCATATTCTTACAATAGGGACTTGGTGAAAAATAAACGACAAGGCTTCTATTGAAAGGGACTCATAGTAAAATGTTCTGCGCATAAAAACGATAGAAGCAAGAAGCCAATGAAATCTTTACAAACATAAAACATACATTGAGCATTATAAGTGGTTGGTACGGAGAAAAACCAAGTTGTAGTACATTTTTATTGTTAGAACACTGAACTGTTTCAATTCAATGTACCACAGCTTAATACAATAATAAAACAGTTTGTCAGAATCCTAGTTTTGTTCGATAAATGTCCGTAATAGAATATTATATTGGTGGAGAAATTTTATTACTTATTGTTGAGGTGGTCTTATAATACAAGTTATGTCCACGAATTTATTTGTTAAATGTTACCTGCGACTGTTCCAACTGATTACTACCAATGATACAATCTTGGTTTTGGTTTAGTGTATGTGAAAGCGAAACTCATTGACACGCACTTTTGGACAGTTAAACGTTTGAATTTCACTTTTGAAAAGCACAAGAGAAAGAGAAATATCACTCACGAAGAAAATTTGTTATTTATTCCATTTCGTGATCATCATTTGAACCTTGCGGCTATGGTCTTAATGACCCATCTAGTCAATAGTTTAACAACTGAAAGCAGACATTCTATGAGTAAATAGATCATACGCTACACTAGCGCCTCTAGCGAACGCAAAATAACATTATGAACTAAACTAATTTAAAACAAATACTAATAGAAAATTTTCAATTGTCCACAGTTTCTATCGCTGCTGGAACGCAATGTGGTGGCGAACACTACCCTACATTACCGGCAGATGACTCTGTTCGCTCCGACCAACGAGGCATTCCAGAGGTTCAACGGAGAATTGGACGACTCTCTCGTACTTTATCATATAGGTATGTCAGCTATTTGTTCCGTAAATGTTTGTATGTCTGTATGTAAGGCCTTTGTATTGACGACGTGTGGTCCGCAGATAGTCCATTTATCTTTTGTATGGGCGGCTTGTGTGGATTGTTGGAAGTAAGTGAACAGTGGTGAAGTAATCAGGGACCAGTAATCGGCACAAATACAAATACATACATTATTTGTGTTGAGGATATTTTTTTGCTGTTAATATACAACAATGCAAAGAAGATTCAGTTTTGATAAAAGATGATTCTTTTTCATATCACACACACATCATCAACCTATAAGTGCCCACCGCTGAGCACTGCTAGTTTGAGCACTAATCACCACGCTTGCTCAATGCGGGCTGGCGATTTCATACTTATAATTAGAAATTATAAGTCTAGGTTTCCTCACGATGTTTTTCTTTACCGTTTTTCAGCGGTGTCTAAATAATCTTAGAAAGTACATATAAATCGGAAAAAGTCAAATTGGTATTTGCCGTTGGTAGGTTTCGAACCCCCATACATGAGAAGTGAGCGTCTTAACCATCACCACTATGTCACCATGTCACCAAGGTCACTATGACATTTATTATCTTTTTGGTAGCTAACAATCGATTGTAATGATAATGAGGGTGAATGGGGTTCACCATATAGCCAAACACTTAATTTCAGACTCCATGTCAAGTAACGGGTTTCGGAATACCCCATGTTCGCCAGTTATCTTTCCAGTTTTTCTATTATTATGCATTAGTAAAATTATCACAACAAAATTGCCAATCTCATCACCAGGTGGCAGCAGCATATTTACAGTTTACTGCGTCTACCATAATAATATTCAGTTATACATTACCTCCACATAGTTACACATATAAACAACATACAAACTCCACCCAAACTTCCAACAAAGAGGGACGAGACAGTTATTTTAGGTAATAATACATCTGCATAAAACATTCTGGCGGTATTTCGGTACACATCAAAGTCACGTGTTGTTTTACCCAAGCTCAAAGACTAAAGTTGCGGAACTCATCCTATTAGTCACCCCTCCTTGTAGTTTAGACTAAACTAAGCTAGTTCAGACAACTCCTAAATTAAAGCAATCCTGCTAGATTTTCACCTTGTGTCTACGTGGGAACCGAGGCATTCATTAATTTTAACTCGCCAGCCTGCGAGTCACCGCTTTGCTTATTGTTTGAATATCAACTTTGTTTTATGTCAAGTGCAGTTGTACTTGAGATTGTAATTGTACATGGTATTTAAACGATCCTTCGTCAAATTATGATGTGATAATTGTATGTTTTTACTTCAGTGATCGTTGGCCATTACAATTTTTTATCATGTGCGAGAAATACCGTGGTGTCAAGAACAATAGCAATGGGGTCCATAACCTAAGTGAAATGAAGTATTTTCAGGGTTTCATTCAAAATAGAACAAAGTTTATGATTGTACCTAATATTAAATAGTAGGAATACTACAATCAAAGTTGTACGATCAATGAAATTAACTTAGTACTTAGTGATGGAACAAATCAATACAATACAAATTGAACCGCCTACACAGATTACCTAGAAAGTTTCGAACATTCAGTACAATCAAATGTAAATGAGATTCATATAAAACTTATAATTTGAAGTCTATCCCTTTCACAGATTGATAAAGGCACCGTTCTAATTCAATATTGGCTGACATAATCCGATTATAATAGTCGTGGAACGAGCTAACTGTCAAACGCGGTTTCACCCGCACATTATTTGAATAAAATATTAATAATAGGGTTGCTTTGTCATTTATCAGGAAGATAAATAGATTTTGCGACCTGAGCCACGGTACAATATTCTGGAGTAAAACTTTTGTAACAAAAGAATGAGGTACCGTGACATCTTCTCATTGTGTATGACTTTAGTAAAATAATATGTCATGGAAGCTCACAGGATAGACCGGTACATCATTTATATTTCACTACGCTCTGATACTAAATATTATGTAAGGGATGTAATAGATAGAGCATGATACAAGTACAAACCAAAGTGACCAACCACCTTATATGATACCAATAAATATTTTGCACTTTCCCAAAAAATGGGAATTTTCCGTTCTAAATAGTAAAAAGTCGTAGCTTCGTGTATAATTAACGTAAAAAGGTATATTACATGGCTTTATTTAGCAAGTAAGTAATAAACAGAATGGTAAAGTAACCTTGAAGGCGATAAGTACTAAATTCTAGCAAACCTATAAGATTTTATCTGCAACTGTTCCCAAAACTGGTTCTTAGCACACGAGACTTAAAATTGATTTTGTTTCAGCAAACCTGGCGACTACTTTATCGAATATGGACTATGCGATATCAACGGATCTGGATGGGAACCCTCCATTGTGGGTGACGACGCGGCGGGGTTCGATGCATGACGACATTTACGTAAACAATGCCAAGGTCTACGTCAGCCGGTCCTACCAGGCTGTGAACAGGAACAATAAGTTACAAGTAAGAGTTTCCATTTTCAATATACGACTGCATACTCTGCACAGTACGCTATGTATGTACATATTGTACATGTCTACAGTTAGCCGTGTTTATTTGGCCTCCAGGTGAGGAAAAAAGAAATGAAAGGTGAATCAGTGCAAAGACAATAGTTTCGCCAGCCAATGGTTAGGTGCTGTCTCTGTATTAACTGTGTTAATCTCTATTTTATTATCTAGATACCAAATAACTTAACTAACAATGTTCATAATTATGTAGGATTTGTTTAACACATGACACCTATATCTGTGTATCTTAGAAATTCTATGAGATTCTATGTATATCTTAGATGTTCTAGGTGTGAGGAATTAAATATGCGGTTAACAAAATTGGTTGGACGACTGTTCTACAAATGTGTTACGTGTCTATATAATTCCACATTAAATTTTTTTTATGGCATAAGCCAGTAAACGAGTAGACGGATCACCTGATGGTAAGCAATCGGCGTCGCCCATGGACACCTGGAACACCAGAGGCATTACAAGTACGTTACCGGCCTTTTGGGGATTAGGAGTTTGAGGATCGTTGGGGATTCAGGAATTGGGGAGATTGGAGAAGGGGAGGGTAAATGGGCCTCCGGTAACCTCACTCACACGACGAAACACAATGTAAGCGTTGCTTCACGCCGGATTTCTGTGACACCGTGGTATCACTCCGGTCGAGCCGGCCCATTCGTGCCGAAGCATGGCTATCCCACACTTATTCCGTGTTTATGTGTGTTATCCGCAAACAGTTGTCTTGGATCTAAATATGATTTGTATATGGAAAATGTGTTTTGAATCACATCCACAAAAGTAAAGCTTTTGCTAAAAGCAGAGGGGAAATTAATTTTATAACAGAATTTATTCTAGAAATCCTCGCTTTGTTTAAAATATCCTAAATATGTTAGTATTCCACACACAGAACAAGCATTGCAATGATCGTTTGGAAATGGTCCCGTTGTGCGCCTCCTGCCATGCAAACCAAGGCACGAGTGATGCCGTACATATTCCAGACATTGTATTTGCTTGAACGCACATAAGAATTCTCCAAGCTATCTGCTAGGATGATCTTAGGATTCCAGATTTTATAGACAAGGATATAACCTCACTAGTAGGTTAGTTCTTTCGAGTAGGTAACCTGGATTGCCTTAAATATTTATTAGAATTGAGGCATTAACTGAGATGGAATTTGAAAGTTGTAGTTCTTTTATCAAAATAAGAGCTTCATAACTTACTCTAGTTAGACCATTCCACTACGGAGGTACTTCATAAAACATACAATTTTTATTCCATCCCAATGTTTATTGCGTGTCCCAAAAAACCGAGCCAGTATTTTAACAGCAGGATCCCAAGATAATAAAAATTTCAAGGATTTTCTACCAAATAAGTAAGCCCGGATTTACTTTACTGTGTCACGGATGTCCAATACATTCCCTTGGGATTTGGAACTGTCGCCAGGTGTATTTGGACTAAGACATAAAACAATGATTATTAATTCAACAAGATACTTTGATAACTCGCTTTATCTTTAATTCAATAAACTAACTAAGCAACTTCTTAGTTCAATTCTCCCAGATTAGGGTTATGACTGAAATAATGTAATCACTGAAGTTGTAATGAAATCAAATCCAAGTTTCTTGAATACATAGAACAGAATGAAGATCTGGATAATATCTTCTTATTATAAGCTTTATTTTAGGAAGACAACCATTTGTATTTCGTTTTAAAAATAAAGATGACCTTAATGAACACGCCAGCTTACATCCATTATAAGAGAAACCTATTTAGAAAGTGGCGTTTTTATTTTTTGTGTGAACATTGCAAGTTTGCCACATACTTCAAAGTTATGTCCATTTCGTTTAAATCGGGTTCGAACACGCTTAGTCGTATATGTCAAAACTCGTAGTACAAATTCAGTGCAATACTATTGAAATTTATTCCCTTTGGACGTGAATTGACACACCACAACGATGTGTAAACAAATCAAAAGACTAAATTAACTAAAAATCATAATGAATCAAAATGAGAAAAGCTCTACTATGCGCGCGCTGAGTAGGCCGCGCGACATCGCCGTTACCGCACACGATGCTCATGAGGAAGAACCCCTCTGTGCTAACTAATAGTGCTTTTCTCAGTATATTCACGTGAGTAACCCGCGATTTTTAGTTAATTTAGAATGTTTCACGATAGTTATTATAAAAATCAAAAGTCTCTTAAAAGTCGAAAAAGTTGTCGACGTTTTGATTTATTCGTACAATCTACAGATCGAAATTCAAAGTACTTGGATTACTAGGGAAAAATCGAATAGTGCAGTATTTTGTAAGTCAGCTACATGTATTGTGTGCCAAAAGTCCGCAACGATCAATATCGCCGGAGAGTTTTGGCACGTTTCTTATACGAATAATATAAAATGGTACATTTTGAGCCCAAGCAAGCTTGAACGATGTGATTACTTGCCTGATTCGGAAACCAAAACATGGGGCTGATTGCTGGTAAAAAAATATTTTTATTAGACCCCGTCAGGCGAGAGTTTTGCGTCACCGTCTAATGTTGTTTGAGGACTTTTTAAGCCAGTGCTGGCGGCTTTGCGCACCTTTACATTAGATTAATTGAACCTACCACAACAAGGATGTTTCATTTGACAAAAATATGTACACTGTTAACTTATTTATTTAAAACTTTAAGTAAGATTTTCTCATTAATTGTAGCTACTAGCTAGCTAGATCATAAAGGATATCTAATGTTTAGTCAATATTTATAACAATATTTTTATCATCTAACTCACGTAGGCATAAAATTTTATTACACTACTTGAAACAAAAATAAAACTTTGAAATTAAATCAGATAATAAAGAAATAAAGAAAATTGCCGACATAAAAACTACAGAGTGCCTAACCTTAATTTCTCCTAGACTAATTAGACGACGGAGTTTGACAAAGAAACAACAATGAGGCCAAAGGTCAAGAGGACTCAGCACGGCATCGAAGGGGCTACCGTCACTTTATATATTAAGGCTAATAATGCCTCAAAGACGAAAAGAACACTAGTAAACTTAGAAACTAGAAAGCTTTTTCTTTAGAACAAAAAACTATCTTTTTCTTCAGCAATTTTTCTTCATACTCGAGTGAACAAAGTAGGTTCGACGCAATGAGACTGATATGTTTATAAAATAGATATACATACTCTATGGTCGAAACCTTTTCGTAATTTTTTTTCTATCTCTTTGACATGTTTATTATTTGAAATAATTATCTTTTTCTCTCTTTTATTTACGAATCTATTTATTTTACAAAAATGATTGGTATAAAATTTTTATTTATGGGCTTAGCTTGGGATAAGGATTACTGTGATTACTTTTTAGATCCCTGACTATAGTAAATAGAAAGTAGTATTGTAAATAAGCAATGACTCCAAAAAACCTAGTGTAAGTTACCTATTAGAACGCTTGCGTGGTGTTTCGTCGTGTGAGTGACGTTACCGGAGGCACAATTACCTTCCCCTTCCCCAATCTCCCCAATCCCTGAATCCTCAACGATCCTCAAACTCGTAATCCCCAAAAAGGCCGGTAACGCACTTGTAATGCCTCTGGTGTTCTGAGTGTCCACGGGCGACGCCGATTGCTTGCCATCAGGTGATCCTTGTGCTCGTTTACCGGCCTATGCCATAAAAAAAAATAACCATCATCATAATCATCAACTGATAAAAGATTAGCTCGTGATATCCAACTTGCTTACGACGCGTAGAGATTATGTACCCTTCTATGTCAAAGAAATCCATATGCCTATAGTGGACTCTCACTAGAAATTTTGATGAAAATTATAAGTACCAGGTAACATGTTTCAAAAGCATCGAATGTCTAAACATATGTTATACTTGCAGGTACTCCACGTTATTGATCAAGTGCTACTACCGCTGCAGCCTCATGGTTCTAGCTCCATTAGTTCTCCAGTCTACAATCCCAATGCCTACCACTTTTTGGAACACTCCGACCTCTTCAATATTGGGCAGCATCGGCTCAGGTACTTACTCACTTCATAGGTTTAGCAACTTATAGCGGATTTTAGCTCTCGATTGCGCGATTTCGTCATTTCTTCATAAAATCTGCCTTGTATCACATGTATCCGAGTACTAGTATTAAAAGAAATCATTTTATTTATAACTATATCAGAGAATGCTTGAAATTAATAAAACTGGAAGTTATAATTAATTACAATACATAATTGCCTTCTGAATTTACATGCATCAAAAGCATATTCAACGAAACGTAAACATCTGAGTAAAAAGCCTTTAATAACACAATAATTCGTCGAAAGTCAACTCGAAAATCTGCGTTTAATTCGAACAAAAATTACCATTTAATGAACGAAAACACAGACCCGCTTTGCATCGTAATTGTCATTAAAATTTTAAATACATGTTGCACAACGAGTGCTAGGAAAATGTTGGAAAAACTGCCTTCATTATGAGCAGGTATAAGTTCGTAAGTTAATAACATTGCAAGCGTTTCAATTACCGCAAACTCGGGCGAACCAAATTATCGTTGGATTGAACTTTTGCACGTCGAGTTCGCAAAACAAACAACACAATTACTCGACTACTCGTTACTATCTGTACTGCAATCGACAAGAAACACGCGAGGAATTCCAACACGGTACTAGATTACATTTATTTGGAATTCAGAATCCGTGACCGAGTGACCGATTTCTTGTTGATCATAGTTATGTTCCGATTTCAATGTGTTTGAATATACAGAGGATTGTTAAACTACAAAATATTACTTGCTTGTTTTCTTCTTGTCTGCAATGGGTAGTTTCATTTCACACTTTGTGTTTTGTCGAGTTTATGATATGGTAAGATTGGTTATTATAGATTGATTTAATAATAGTGAACTTTTAAAAATAAGTCATTTGTTAAATAACTAACTATAATAAAAGAGATACCCTTGAAAACATAAACATTAGAAAAATCCAAACGAAAAATAAAAAGCACGATACTTTTAATTTAGTCTGTTACAAAATTTCTGTGTTTATTTTAATTTTAGCAAGGCTTTTAATTACTCTCACCGAGTAGGACAAAAAGACGAAACAAAGTGAGAGACAAGAATAAATTTTGATGCATTTTCGCAGGTCTTTCAGGCAAAAAGTGAACCAGCTTAAAAAGAGCAAAGTATTTGATTCCGACGGGAGACACACGTTCTTTATCCCTGTCGATGAAGGATTTAAGGTAAATCTTCTTACTAAAAATATATTGCTAAAATGTTCGGACAGAAATACAGTTTTATTTTTGTTTTAGCCGACAACTAGATCCGATTTGATAGACGAGAAGGTTATAGATGGCCATGTAATTCCTCATCATGTGTTGTTCACTCATGCCACGCCTGACGCTAAGGAATTTGAGACGCTAGCATTCGGAGACAATGTCAAGGTCATCATATCGTTCAAGACCGTTATGAATGGAAAGGATGAAATCAGTGAGTACCTTATTGAACCGTAATGATATGATTTGATATGAATTGAATGATATTATAAAGACACAATTACCATCTAGAATTAGATTAAAGAATAGACAACTCGTCAAAAACAATAATTTACCAAAAATAAGATGGGCTATGGGTATCCTGAAACAATAACCATTTTATGTATAAAACAGAGTATTTAATGGGAGTGTAAATTTATGACATAATATTGAGAATATTTATCATGTTGTCACAGAATTTCGCAGAACACCCAATACATTATTCCCTGAAAAAAAACAAACTAACATTCAAAGTTTCATTAAAAGCCATTATGCAGTCAAAATGAAGACATTGTAGTCACCAGCAGGGAGGTACTTTGACAGCCGTGCATCGTGTGTAGTGCAGTGTATCAATTATTCAGAGACACACCACTGACATACCAGTGACAACGAAATTGCTTGTCTAATAGAAATGTTGGAGGAGTACACTCATATTATTTATGTATTCCTATGAGGGAAATATCATATTATGTTGAAGTATATAGAGACGACATAATTGGCCTCACGATTGCTATGGTGTACTGGAGCGATAAGTGTGCTGAAAATATTTTATTCGCTCTGGGGAAAATATTTTGCACGATCTATCAACAGATTTCTGATTGTAGATTTATTTAGGTTTGGGATGCATTTTTTTGCATCTGTATTTTCCTATCGTCAATATACCTAATATATCATTATGTCGTGGAATATGATTTCTAAAACGTATCATCATATTTAAGGCCATTCTTCCGATTCCAGAATCACAAATTTGGACAACTCCTCCAAACAAGTACTCTAAAAGTTCATAAGAAAAGAAAGTTTTAAAACAAATATTTATGTTAAGCAGTAAAAAATTTTTTATGTTTATTAGCCTACGTAAAATCAAACACTGTCGCTGGAGACGCGAAGCACGCTCGAGGTGTGGTTCTCGCTGATATCGTTAGAGCGAATATTCCTGTCAAGAATGGAGTCGTTCATCTCATTCAGAGACCTCTTATGGTTGTCGACACTACCGTCATCGACTTCCTCAAGGTTAGTAGTAACTGTACAGTACATAGCTAACACGCATTCAATCGTTGATCCAACCGTACGTCTTCATAAAGATTCTTATATTAACGATCATACGTTGAACAAACTAGCAAAGTACTAACAAAATGTGAACGGTATATTCAGCGATATTCATTTATTTATCATTATCAAAAGAACCAGAAGTGGTCTTTGATATTTGAAGCTTCTTTATTCCGTAGTAATAAGAGTGTTTTTCGTCAATAATCTATATTGCTATAGACGTGCGGTTGACCGTATACTAACTTACTTTTAGCTCTCACATAAAATGAGTTCCGACGATGGAATTGAAATTGAAGTAAGATAGCATTATGTCACAGCTAACCGTTGAAGAGAGCTAGCAAGCTACTAATGAACATAAAGATAGTTACATTATCCTCTCGGCTACTAACTAGAACCACTAATTAACTCATACGTAATAACACACCACTTTACATAATATTTTCAGCTGTACTTAATTAATATTGTAAGCTAATTAGAAACACAATTTCAATCACATAATTGACTTTCCGCTCCATTTTAATGGGAACCAGGCTATGAAGGTAAAATGAAGCGTTTCATTTATTTCTTATTTTTTTTATTCAATATTCTTTGTGTGTAATTTATTTTTTGATTATATTTATAACATTTATAACAAAGTCATTCGGATAAAAGATTAGCAAGATTGTTTTAGTGTTGTATTATTTCCTCGGAGACTAAAACAAGATTCGTTCAAACAGGAAAAAGAAGATGGACCTCTTTGTAAATTCTATGAAGTAATCATGGATCTCGGAGCAAACAACCAATTCTTCAACGAGCTCACTTTGGCGAAAGACATCACTCTATTTGCGCCCTCAAATGAAGCGTGGGCCGACTTCAGCGTGCAAAATATCATTAGGTTATTTACTTCATTTTATTTTTTACGAGCTTTTTGTGTTGATGTGATTGCTGCCATAATGTTTTCGGCTTTGATGAGCTGTACCGGGTTCAAATGTTGTATTTTATGAACACAAAGGGACGTCGTCACAAAAATAAATTTGTATTTTGTTTACGTAGGAACCATCAAAAGCTGAGAGATATTCTGAACTTGCATTTGGTTCGGGAGAGGTTGCCGTTGGACGCAATCATTCACAACAACATGAATCAGGTAAATATTGAAATTTCAATTTAAAAGTCCTTTCATTGGAATATTCAATAATGAATACACAACTGTGAATGGAGATCTGGAATTGCCGCGAATTATAAAATTTAAATTGCAATTAAAATTAATGTCGTATGTTGGTTTTAATTCTCTGGTTTACTTGCTGCTGTTGGAAATCAGCTACCGGGAACTGTATGTTTTAATTATTTTTCAATATAATTATTATTGTCACGAATGTTTTTATCGTTAACATCCTGGTGTACTATTTTAATTTAATTTGTACGAAATTGAATATGTGTTATTATTTTGTAATAAATGTTACAACATCCTTGTTTATTTTCAGTCGTTAATGTGGTTGCATGACTTTATAATTCATACCTACTATGTCCGTGTTTAGTTTCTGTTAGTCGTTTAGGATAGATTTTCCAGGAATGTGGAATCTTTTTGTAACCCCTTTAGATGTTGTTGTAAATGCATCAAAGCATGGGTGTCGAATGCGATCTCTTTATTAAAACTTGTCATTTTTCTAATAATTTTCAATTATTTTAGATCTACCAAGCACCAACGGCTTCTCCTCGCAAGTACCTGTATTTCAATGTTCTGACGCGTGCTCAGAATCAAACCCTAACCGTTGAAGGTGGTGGCGTTAATGCTACTGTCACACTTCCTAACATTGCGGCGACGAACGGCTTCGTACATATCATCGACAGAGTACTGGGAGTCCCTTACACTACAGTCTTTGAGAAATTGAAAACGGATCCAATGCTGAAGTAAGCAAAAATACTCACTTGTATCATATTTAGTTTATACAGAAATATGGCGATAAAAGTTTACCAAGAACAAGGGTCACGAAACTTATGATAAACATGTTTGTTTATTTGTTTTAGTATTACCTACAACTTGGGTAAGCGGCAGATGTTCAACCAGCAGCTAAATGATATGGAACATCGCTACACATACTTTGTTCCTCGTGACCACGCCTGGTTGAAGTTCCAAATCAAACATCCTTCAGCCTTCAAATCGCTGTTTAGGGAAGACTTTGGTTATTTCGTAAGTTTATTTAGTTTTTTATTTGTTTGGATATTCCCATCCCTTGTTTCAAATCGATGCAACTTTTAATCGATACAGCATTTAAATTTTGAACGACAAAAATAAACAGAAGATTATCATTAGTTAGACGAAACGAAAAATATGTTTTTGAAGTTAATCTTCATCGCATGTGCTTAATTAGTACTATATCTCTGTTGTCATTTTTCAGACGAAACAAATTTTAGAGCGACATGTTATTCGAGCCGGGCGCGCGTACACTGTATCTGATTTAAAACTTCTCGCGAACGAAACACATCCCTTCGTTCTGCCGACTTCACGCGATCCACTCCGGCTGCGTGTCAAGGAATCTGATAAGAGTAAGCTTTTAGCGGTTCATTTACATTGTTATCTGTTTTCGTTTATAATGTTGGGATTTCAAATTCGATTTACGTCGAGATTGGAGATTAAACTAATTTGTTACTTTCGTAGACTACTACGTTGAATGGAACGGCCACTGGATCCACGTATTCAGGCCCGACGTCGAGTGCACCAATGGCATCATCCACGTCATCGACGAGCCTTTCGTGCTGGAGAGTGACATCCGGGCGACTGGAGCTGCCCACAAAGTTGACCTCGCCTATTCCTACTTCGTACTCTTCCTCTCTTTCTGTTTTGTAAGAATTTTTGAAAATTAAACGTCCTCTGGTTTTTGTTGAGTCAATTATACGTTCGTATGATTTATTGGCCAAAGTGGTTTTGAAATCTGTTTCCGAATTGTAATTTAATAATGCTCGTTGTTGCATTAAAGGCAATGGTTTGATTTTCGGGTGTATTCATATTGCGTTACCGTAGTTTTTGTGTAGTTTAAGTATAATATGAAGAATTTGCACTGATTCGTTGGAACGTAATACCTATTATAAGATGTTATTAAAATAACTCGAAGATATTCACTGCCATCATTTTTAGAATCTTCTAATTAAACAAATTTTAAAACGATAATTATAATGCCGTATTTACGTAATAAATTGAAACTGTCCCTATATTAATCGAAATTGCAAATTAATTTCATCTGAAATATAAATTAGTGTATGAAATATATAATATTTTATAATAAAAAATATATAAGTAAGACGTTAAGTCGTATAGGTATTTATTTCTACAATTACCGTTGTTAAAGTTTGTTTAGATTAATTATAATGAATGAATGAATCTTGAACTCCACTTAATTTTGGGTCCCTTGTGCCTTTTTTAAAACCAAAGTACTAAAATTAATTCAGAATATACCTTTCCAAATTATTATTTACAAGAGGTGTATTTACTTTAAATCTTAATTCCTATACATTCCATGTTATGAGTATCTTAAAGATTATTATATATTAACGTAAATATATATTGTTGTTACCACTGAAGTACCCAAATTGACGTTCAGTTATTAAATATCTTCGACTGAAAAAGTATAAATTGTAAAAAGCAAAAAGCATTAATTTGTGTAAGTAGAGTTATTCATTCGTGTCAAATTAATTGGTCTATAACTAAGGATTTCTGGAGTGAGAAGATTATCTGAAGTGATCGAGAACGCTTGCAGCCCAGTAATACTAAGTTCATTGAATATTTCAAACTATTACAATGATTTGAATTAAGTATTTTAGGAAATGGCCGCTTGAGCAAGCAAGCTGCTATTGGCTGAACAAGGCTGGCAGTCCCGACATACATAAATAACGACAAAAATCAGCCGCTATGCTGTGAATACCTTTAATAGTTTTTTAACCTTAATGTTTCGTAATAAAGGTGAAAATCTGTTAATGATAACGACATTGCGACTGATTTCTATCGTTAAACTTATCGAGACTTCCAACCAAGGTCTTTCTATCATTATTATAAGCAATGGAAAGTATTTAATGAAAGTATTCGTAAATTGAGAGCGATCATAATATTATAATAAAATGTGTATATAGGAATGAATGGGCTTATAATTATGATGGTGCATTTGTGGTTCTCTTACGTTTACTAAGCAAATGTAAATAATTTATATAAGTTATCATAGTTCATTATAGTTATTGTATAATTTAGTAGCTATTACTTGAATACGACTGAAATTTTATCACGTTACATACATAAAAGTATTTGGATTTGAACCGTTTTTTGAATTAACAGAAATGCTGCTTCCGCGCTTTAAAGTTTTGACGTCGACGTTTTCTATGGAGAGGAGAGTGATTTACAAAACTGTTTATGTACTTACATTTACACATACAAGGCCACTTTATACTGATGTATACATGAACCGTATTTGGAGTAGATTTACAAGTTAAGGCAGCATTTATTAGTGAATTCTTACTAATTAACATGTACTCGAGTGTCCTGTTGAAATCAGTGTAATAGATAACATTGTCTGTCGCTTTATAGAATAAATTTACATTAATAACTTTGTAAGCAAATATTCAAGTGATGTCTATATTGAGCCAAAGCTAACTGCTACTTCGGAATATCAATATTACCTTCCTATGATTATTATAAGGTTTGAATATTACAATAGATACTAGAATGTCATATAGCCGATAAAATTAAGATTTGAATGTTCATGGAAGCGATCATATTATAAAATTGCATTTTTAATACTATACACTAGTGTAACGTGGGACGTATTGACCCAAGACAATATAATTCTGACCAAATATTCAACCAAATATTTGGTTAAGTACGAAATTGGAATTCAATTAATTAGTGAATGTTTCGGTGTAATAAAATCTATGTCAAATTAGTGAAGACGTTATGGGGAAGTGTTTAATGACAAAGAATTTATGTGTAAAATATACATATTGAACTTCTCATGTTGGTTTCATTGTTGTTGTTCCCCTAGTCTAGTCACGCACACCGGAGGTGTCAAATTAAATTTCGGGTACGAGGTTATGGCGGGCCGCGCGCCACGCCGCCTTAACAGTCTGCAATAACAACGTTTGCAACAAAATCTAAAACAAAATTAACAACAATAACAATTAAATGTGCTGTGAGATGTACACTCATGAAATCGTTTCAGCAGCTGCTGCTGTTTCATTAATTTTCAGCTGCACAAACAAATATCTAGCTAATTAACCGGTGTATGGTTGCACTGAAAACTTTTTGTTTTGGACTCATTACAGTGTAATTACCTTGCTTGCATTGTGCTTTGTTTCTTCTGTTAGTTGGGGTCGTTAAGAATCTAATCTAACTAGTTTGTTAGTACATCTGTTCATAACACTAATAGCATGAAACTAAAAATTAATTTCGTTACCGTTGAGCCGTCTAACTTCTCTGAAATTTCCTCGCTATGCCTACCTCACAAAAATAAAAAAAACGAATGCACTGTGTATACGGGAGCCGTCTCAACTACGCCGTCGGAGTGTTGGATGAACAAGAAAAAAAATCTACTTCAATAAAATATGGCTGCCGCGTTTCGCGCGGGCACTCGGCTTTAACGGAATAATTGAACACGCTGCAAAGGTCGCAGTCAGCCGGTTAATCCCATAAGGTTTGCGCGACGACACAGCTACCCTGCTCTTGCTAATCCCCTTGATGGATGGTAGGAGTAACTCCTTTCTATGAGGCCATCCCATTACCCGGGACGTTACGCGCGACGGTAATGCGTGTTGTGGTTTGTAATTACCTCCCATTTAAACAGAAACACTGAGGATAAAACAATTTGATATGTTAACGGCCGCGGTTATATACAATAGGCGCAGATTGAATGCAATTAAAGTGTTATTCGAGCGAAATGTCCACATGAAGTGCTACAGATAAGCCACGAAATTTAGGGTTCCGCAGTCCGACCCGGATAAATGAGAAGTAATTTGAATGAAGCTTAGAGATTTATTTGTGAATAGAAACACTGATTTTGATGAATATGTTAGTTTATGTAATGTTGGTCTGTGGATGTACGACTTCAACAGTTTCTCACTTAGCACATGGATAAAAAATATCTACCTACACTTTGTCTTCTCTTCGACGTTGGAGATTCCTAAAATACTGAACAGATTCTTATAATAAACGACACCACTAAAATTGCGTGAATAATGACGCATTGTCGGAAAACAAATGTCTTCGCTACGTTAACTAAATAAACATATTTGTTTCCCTACAGGAAGTAGAAAAAAAGAAATAAAACAGGTGTGCTCACTAATATTTCTACTCAGACGACGACCCGAGGAGAAGCGAACGAATATAACATTAGAGGAAAGGTCGACTTCGAGCTAAAGGTCACAAGTAGGTAGTTTCCTAACCCTCGATTTCAGGAACACGATATTATTTAATCAAATACATATAACATTTTTATCGGTTGCGAAAAAGGCTAATCATCAATCACAAATAATCACAATAGTAATGTATGAATTTAGCTGTAGATTAAGATGTTTTAGTGCACAATATACTCATAGATTTCTGCCTCGCACAGCAAAATTGTGGAATAATTTGCCGTTAGAGGTATTTCCGAACCAATACAACCTTCAAAACTTTAAGACAAGAGCGAAGAATTTCTTTTTAAAAAACTGGCATCGCACTCTTTGCTTTACTGGTGTAACGGGCGTCAATTGGAGGCGCTATTGCTAAGAATCAGGTGATCCGTCTGCTCGTATTCCATATAAAAAAAAATATAAGAACCTTACATCCGATTTTCCGATTACAGTCCTGGAATATTCCAGGAACATGAGAAAAGGTGAATATATGCTACTATACCTATAGGTACTAAAATCATCCATTGGTTCATGGTTCATGCTAATAATTATGTATGTACATACCATAATGTCGACGCTTTTTCAGTTGGAGCCAACACCAAATAGCTGGTCTTTTCACCTAGTGGACAAATTCAAAGCTCCTGGAAACCACCAAAATCATTTTCCTAAACAAAACTCAAACAAGATCATATTTCACTAGCACAAAATAGATTCACCATTTAATATGTCTAAGCCAAACACATTGCTTCGAAAATCCATTTATCAATTTTCATGAGAAAGTATAGACTGGTATACACATAATTATTTAGCGTTGCTGTCTGTACACCGCATCCTCTTAAATCTCTCGCAAAATAAATGCAAGCTGTTACAACCTCGGGCAGAGAGGGAAAAGGAAAAAAATAAAAGTTTTTATAGACTCGATTTATCTTAACGCTTCGAGCAGAAATACAGAAACGAACGGAATCAAACACGGTTCTTCTATTTCAAACTGCCTTGATCTGATTAATGTTTCTTTTTTTTTGCTCAATCAAAGTCAGCAACTGACCAGTCATTTTGTTTATTCTTGTTTTTATTTATTTTTTTGCTAAGAAAACTTGTAACTACAAGAACTACGGCTTTCTCTTAAAGTTTCTAGGTAGTAGAATAGTCATTAACGGTTTCTGAGTGTAGGTATTGTACATAAAGGTGTTTAATTCTCTGTTCTTGGTTCTTGACTAAACTCTACCTTGATGGTTGGCTGACCTTTGCCAAATTTGGGTTCAGTTACAGATCAGGCAAAGTATTATAGGTATTGTGCCCGGCATAATGATAAACAGGCTAATACCATATCCCATTTAAGTTATATACCTAAGTCAGGGAAGGCCCGCGCGCGCCTCAAAGAGTCATCAGACCACCATAGATGGGGCCCAACAGGGCCGATGCCTATTCAGAGTCGCGGAGAGCTCCCGCCTCACCCAGGCGGGAGCAGTCGTTCGATGATTTCCCCCCCTTAAAAAAAGTCAGGAAAGGCAAAAGTTGTTATGTTATAAAATGTACCAAGTTTTATGTACATCTGGTACAATATCCCAAGGTTCGCCGATCTACCTTTCACAAGTTCATTATGCATCAATCTGAATTAGTTTGATGACTAAATTAGTTTCAAAGCGGAGTGCATTGCTCTAAGCATGATTGAGGATTACTTCAATTTGATTTATATGCAGTAATGCAGATGTCACAACACAGACAATAATAGTATTAAAATTGTGCATGTAGCTTGAGATCTGTACATGTACTGAGAGATTTAGGCTTCATTTGCTTATTAGAATTATCAATAATCATTTTAGTAAGTATTTTAGGTAGTTCCAATACACGTTTTTACTTTAGAGACAAAATAAATTACATAAGAAGTCGTTTTAGTTAAAACCCTTTATATACACAGCTTTTATATATACCTTGATATATAGGTGGATTTAATACGAACAGCATTCTTAGGTTTATTCTAGTCGACTTTTAAATATTCTTCCTTGTTTTTTTTAAAAAAAAAACATTGACCCCACACTAAGATTTCCTCCTGTGTCGTGAGTGCGTTTACAAACATACAAGTTCACATAGACATAACACCCAGACCCAGAACAACAATCTGTGGATCACACAAAGAGTTGTTCCGTGAGGGAATCGAATCCGCGACACGTTGCGTGGCAGCCAGTTGCCCAAACACCAAGCCTATCGTGCAGTCGAAAGATGGTCTTCAATCAGAATTACACTCCAAAGTAGTTAAGGTTACATACATATGTGACTTACTCGCAGCCCGACAATCTCGTGGATGTTCCGACAATGACAACGATGGATGGCCAATGACATGGACGTTTGTATCTTAGGAGTACACTTCTGTAAGGTCTGTACATTCCTAACCTAATTTTGTCGCGGAGAACCTAACGGGTAACCGGGGCTCCGGCTCGACGTGCAGGAGAAGGAACGGGGTGGTTTTTAGTCAGTAAGAGTCTGACACTCCCTCCCGCCTCACCCAGGCGGGAGCAGTCATTCGATCATTTTCCCCCCTTAAAAAAAAAACCTCTTTAATTTACCGTAGCTCTTTAATTTAGGTAAGCGTAGCATGTAAGATCTAAATAACTATTATTTGATCAGGAAAACAATGTAACTGTTATATGACAAGGGCACGGACACAAGTCCGTGGAGAAATGAAATTTATTGTTATGATAAAAAAAAACCTCTTTAACTCAGGGGGACACAAGACGTTAATTTTTTTGTGAATTTTTTTACAGATCAAAACGTTTATTGTGACACCACAGTTCACCACACCATCAGTTCCAAAGAATATTAACTTGCAAGTGACATCTGACGTTTTTTATTAAACTATATTCGAACCAAAGGTTGTGAGGTATAAGTTATTTGCATATTCCCAACAAACAGTTGATCTATAGGGATCAAAATCATCGTATGTTGTCATGACGTCGCCTATATGTATGCAAAATTTATGGAGATCGGTCGACTAGTTGAGATGTGAAAGTGAAATATGACACAGGTGTGTTCGAACTTCAATCAAAGCGAGTTGAAGCGTGATTGGACGTTCGATTCTAGACTTGAAAATTGAAAGGCAAAAACATTGACAGAAAAGCAGCATTTTTTAGGATAGCAGTATTTTTTATTAATACAACTTTAACGATTTAATATCGCTCTTTGTTATTAACTTTTTAGTCATTTTTAATTGTAGCTATTTACGCATTTTAGGATTATTTAAAAGGTATGACAGTAATGCCTAATGTGGCTACCTATTATAGAGACCTCAGAAGACAGAACACCAAAAAACATAACATAACATAAAATCACGCCGTTTATCCCCGAAGGGGTAGGTAGGGATGCACATTATGGCACTTAATGCCACTGTACAATG